GACGACATCGCACGATGCGACGACTGTCAGCGCACTAAGGCTGATTCACGCCGACCAAGCGGGCTGCTGCAACCACTACCAGTACCCGAGGCAATTTGGGAAGACATCACCATGGATTTCATTGAGGGACTGCCGAGTTCTAATGGGTTTAACGGAGTAATGGTCGTGGTAGATCGACTTACCAAGTACGCTAACTTCATACCCATTACGCATCCATACACAGCCAAATCTATCGCCAGGTTGTTCGTCGAATATGTGATGAAGTTGCACGGAGCTCCACGATCTATAGTTTCTGACCGAGATAGGATCTTTATGAGCAATGTTTGGTCCGAATTTTTCAAATTGCAAAGGACCAAGCTATCCATGAGCTCAGCATATCATCCCCAAACCGATGGGCAAACCGAGGTAACCAACCGAACCCTTGAGCAATACCTTCGGTGCTATGTTCATCAATTTCCGAAGAGGTGGGAAAACTTTCTACCCTGGGCTGAGTACTGGTACAATACTACCTAACACGAGTCGACCAAGATGACTCAATTTGAGTTGGTATACTGGCGTAAAGCACCAATGCTGATCAACTACTCAGAAAGAGGCACGGTCAACGGTGAAGTTGGTCGAGAGCTCGAGGAACGAGATTTGATGTTGCGAGAGTTGAAGAAAAATCTCCAAGGGACGATTAATCGAACCAAAGCCTTCGTGAATGGAAAGCGACAAGAGATGAATTACGTGCCAGGCGAGTATGTCTACTTGAAGCTGTGACCGTTTAGGCAGCGCACGACAGCTCAGAGGGCAGCAACTAAGCTAGGAGTGCGATACTATGGGCCTCATCAGATTCTGAAGCGCATCGGTCAGGTAGCTTATCGTTTAGAACTACCTGAAAGTTCTCAGATCCATCCAGTCATACATGTCTCTCAGCTTAAGAGAAGTTTAGCGAAAGCGCACAAGTGGTGCGAAGAGTTGCCAACAACTGCGACTGATGGAAGGGCCATAGTACGACCAAAACGTGCAGTGGAGTATCGCAAGATCAGGAAGGCAGGACGTTACCGCTGGGAGGTATTAGTCGAGTGGGAAAATTTGC